TTTTTTTTTTTTAAGCTGCCTTCTCCTCATGGGGGGACAGCCATATATTTTTCTCTCACCTCACATATCTTTTAGCTGGCGTTCTGCCATGTCATGGAACATATCTTTCTTTTCATTACCTAGCACTACTCCTAAGGGTATACAGGGGACCCCTGCAAACATAGCTTTCTACCTCTCTTAGGTGAAGGGAGGTTACCTCTCTCGGTGGAGAGGGGTAAAGAATTTGAGAGAAGTATAAATCGTGTAGTTCCAAAGAAAAAGGAAAAAGGAAAAGGGACCGCCGTTAGGGCATGGGGCAACATGCAACCCCTTCATTGAAACGCTGCTGTGCTTGCAGGGGTCCCCCTGTATAGCCTTAGGAGTAGGGGTAGGTAGGTGAACGATGAATTTGAGAGAAGAGGAGGAAACGGAAAAAGGGCGGTCACAGGAAAGAGGGAAAATACGGAAAACAAAAAAAAAAAAAAACACGAAAAAAAACGAAAAGGTGCGCTCATGTGGCGGCGAGCGGCTGAGGTGGCGCGACAAGTGCGGGAAGATTTTCCGACTGGCATGGGTGCGGATAATGTGATCGAAATCTTGGGATCGGGGCGATGCCGACCGCCCGAACCGGCGGGCCGGCGGTCGGCTGTAATCCTCCCGCGCTTTGCGCACGTGCGTCCCCGCGCTTTCGCTTGTCCGGCCGCGGGGTGCTCCCGCTCTGGTTTCCCGCTCCCGCCACCCAGGGGAAGGTTGTTGCGGCACTCGGCGAATGCTGGGTGCGAGGACACGCGCGCGTGGCGGAACTTCAATTCAATCAAATCAAGCCGCGCGCAAGGAGCAGGTGAGCTGAGGCAAGTCGGTGGTGTTCGTTGCTGGCCGGTCAATCCATCGACCTGTCGTACACAGCACCGTGGGGGCCGCCACGTGTCGCCTTCTCCCGTAGAAGCAGCAACAGGTACCGAACAGGTAGAGCGATGGCGGCCGCGGCGGCAACGACAAGGTTGATGCGGGCGGTCGTCGCTGGGACGGCGGCATCGGGAGTGGCGAGCGGAGCCAGCGGTGCCGGCGCCGCGGCCAGCAGCAGCTGCGCCGTCCGCAGCGCCGCTCATTCTTGCGCCGCCTTCGCGCTGCAGTCGGCAGCCACGTCGGTTTCCACCTCCTCACCGTCTTCTTCCATTCCTTCTGGGAGCACCAACGCAGCTCCCGGCGCGCGCCGCGCGCTCGCCAGCGCTCGGCGCAATTCCGCGTCCTCGTCTGTCGCCGCGCGCGCAGCCGTGTCCGCCACCGAAGCAGCGCCCGAAACGACGAAGAAGCGCAGCGCGTACGCAATTACCACGCTGACGAACTGGCTACTGCAGCAGGAATTCGAAGACCAAATTGACAACGAACTCACGGTTGTCCTCACCTCCATAGCCGTCGCTTGCAAGCAGATTGCATCTCTGGTTCAGAGAGCCGGCATAACCAACCTTACAGGCGTTCAAGGGGCCGTCAATGTGCAAGGAGAAGACCAGAAGAAGCTGGACGTCGTATCCAACGAGGTGAGAATCATGCATGCATGCATACTTCAACTTCCCCGCGCGCCCCCCCTCCTCCCCCTCCCGCCCTCCCCGTTCAATAACCGAATAAAACACGGGCTAATCATCCAGACTCTCCAGGCGATGGGCGCCAATGTAGCAGTCCTAGAGGTGCCGATGCGTTTCTTTCTTTCCCGCCCCCTCCCCCCCCTTCCCCCCCCCGATGCGTTTTGCCCCCGGGGGAGGAAGATGGCAGCAGCTATATTGAATTTCCTTCTCTTTCACTTAATCCTCTCCTGTCTAGGTAGCATTACTTCCTTTAACGGTCCGGTACGCAGCAATTACATTCCCTCTCGCGAATCCTCTCTTGTCTAGCATGACCTCCTCTAACGGTTCGGTAGTTAAACCACCAGTACTTGGCCCAGCTATCGGCCGCGGGAAAAAATAGAGTAGAAACGTTTCTAGTTGGATGAATTTGGGCGCTCCTGTAGTGGCCCGTACGTTTCCTAAAATCGCGTAGCGTTAACGGGCACGACTTTAGGAAGTACTGCAGTGGTTTAAAGAATGGATTCTAAATCGATAGAGGCCAACTTGAAGGTCGGCCGGCTGTCTGGACTGCAGACGGGGCGAGACAGTGAGCCCGGGCATGGCCACCAGTCGTGTAAACAGGGAATCGATGCCGTCACTACGCGATTGTGGGGTCGTAGACCTCTGCGTTCATGCCTCTTGTGCATCAGAATTTGAACCTATGATCTATCTCTGTGTCTGTCCACAACTACATCTCTACACTCTTCAGCCACAAGTACCTCCCTGGTTAGCAGCCCATACACTGGCTGTATCCTTCGTTGAGGCGGACCTTCTGCGATCTTCGCCCCGGCCTCGTCCTTAACACGTCTCTGTGAACACTGAACAGGAGTGCCGCTCCAGCTACAGCAGTAATAACAATATAAGGCATTTGTACACTATACATTTATAGGCTACATACCGTCTTCCCCCGAATAGAAAGAACGGTCATTACTGTATTATCTCTGTATCTCATACAATTGAAAGTTGCCCCACCTACAGCTGTAATAACCTGTGCGTTCTATTCGGGGGAAAACGGTAGCCTGACAGAATCATGTAACGTTATAGAAATTGTCGAAAAATACGAAATTTCAAATCAAAATAAAAAATCAAAATACGAAATTTCAAATCAAAATCATGGATATCTAATTTAGTAATGTCATGTAATGAAGTGCACCGCGACCCACACCATTGACACCAAGCGCACCGCAACAAGGATATTAATAGGCTATCGTGCGAAGGCTGGCAAAGGTTCGGCGATTCGGAAGAGCAATACTCGAACGGGGCCTTTTTTTGAACTATCTGTAATCGTGATCGGGGTCAGGTGCATCCAGAGCTGACCGGAAAGGCGGTTAGATGCATCCAGAAAGTCCTCGTGCGGATATGGCCTACAAGAAGAAGGCCGACAGGGGGGATTTCCCTTGCTCATCTGATTTTTTGCTCGCGGACAGTATCGATGGTCGAGGTGTGACAAAACTCGCGGGAAGGAAGGTTAGAGAGAGAGTTAGCGCCAGCCACCGGTGGCTACCGTCTTCACTCGAATAGATCGCACGCGGTAATTATCGCTGTATCTGGGCTGAAAGTTGAAGCAGATACAGCTTTAACGACCGGGCGTTCTATTCACGGGTCAAGACCAGATACAGATTAAAGCTTTAGCTACTACCTGCCAGTACCTGGTGGTAACGCCTTTCAGCGGGAAAGAGTCAAAAAAATAAAATCATTCTGAATATTTTAGACCATAAATTCGCAGGTCACCAAATTCCTGTCACTGTGACAGTGTTCGATGTAATATTCGCTGGTTGTCTCAGCCATGGAGGAGAGAAGCATGGAGTGAAAGGAAAAAAAAAAAAAAAAAAAAAAAAGCGTGGAGTGGGGAGTGGGTTATTTGAAAGGGACGCTGGAGCTGATTTCCAGGCGTATAATAATAAAATTTGTTAACGAAATGAAAAATTTGAAAAGAATCTGAATCATGACGCCATGTTGGGTAACATGCATGCGCTCAGAAGAAGCAGAAAGTAGGTAGCTTGGCATCAACTTGAAGTTTTTTTTTTTCTTTCTTTCTTCTTTTTTCTTTTTTCCCTCGGTGTCAGGCTTACTTCTAACTTCTAAGTTGTCCTTCGGGACATCCGTTAAAATTGGAACGATACAGAGAAGGGTAAATTAGCAAATGGCCCCTGCGAAAGGATGACACGCATAAAGAAAAAAGAAAAAAGAAAAAAGAAAAAAGAAAAAAGAAAAACTTCTAAGTCATTGCCGTACATGTACTTAACTGGGATGACAGCGCGGAGCTACCGTAGTTCATTTCCAAGGCTCGAGCCAGAAATTTATGCTTAACTGTATCGCCGTATCGGCAGTAGCTCTGTCCGATTCCATCAGAGTTCGAACTCATGATGACCTGTTTATCAACAGTCACATTACATAGGGCCTCGCTGCACTACTCTTGAAATGCACAAAAGACAAAAATCATGTCGCTGTATCTTTCCATGTTCTAGGGGAAGATTCACTCTCGTTTTGCACCTTTCAAGAGCAGTGCAGCGAGGCCCATTTTGTCATGATTTCAATTGATTTGTGCTCCATACAGCAACAAGAATGTATTTAAAATTTTAAACGTTCAAACGGATTGCTGGGGCAAAATTCCCTCGACTTCAGTCGACAGTTTTGTCGTCAGATTCCAGACCAAGATTTACAAGGCCTCCCTTTTCAAAGAATTATGGTAAGATGCATGCACTTCAGGTCAGGGTTATCCCTGGTCTGGAGCAGCTTGCGACGTCCGCACAAACCTCAAACGGCAGCTCCAGCCTCCAGGGTTGTCCCTCCCCTCGCGTTCTCTCCCCCCACCAACTTGAAGGGAAGTTTTTTTTCAAAGGTACATTAGTAGTAAGTACTAGTAACTACTGTCATGGATGCGAGGGCCGAGAGAATGGCCGCTGCATACTCTGCCCCTCCGCTCGCTTCATAATTCATGCTTGACTGAGGAAGCTCAATTTCGCGCACCACGTCTCCGCATCAAGCTCGCTGTGGGATCATATTCACTGCGCGCCAAGCTCACGTCGCACCAACATACTCGGCGCCAAGATTGTGAACGACCCGGCGGTAAACTCATCGACCAGCCCTGGCCTCGGCGACAGATCACACATGACGTTTACCCCATCTCTCTCTCTCTCTTCTCTCTCTCTCTCTCTCTCTCTCTCTCTCTCTCTCTCTCTCTCT